TACAGCTACATATTATCATGGGCTTGTATAATTGCTTTTTTATTTTATGGTTTATTGAGGTCTGATTTGTTTGTATATAAACTCATACAGTGTAGGCTGAGTTTGTTTTTGTAATACTCTGGTGGATTGGTTAAGAGTTGAGCGTAAACGTTGACGTAGGCATCATAACATTATAGCTTAAGCATTCACTCACTTCCTTACTTTGTATAGGAATTGTATTTCCTGATATTTAATGTTGAAAATCTCTGTGTATTTGAAATGGCAACCTCGATTTCAACTACGTCTTCCAGGGTTTAGAAATAAATAACTACTCAATAAAACATTTGTTACATTTTCTACACTCAAACAGATAGATTTGGGCGGGAAGAACTGATAAGGAATAAGAGTTGGCACTAGGTTCCTCGTACTGGTTGACGCGTCGTTGGTTTGGCACAGTGCGAAGGTTACACAGGTCATATTTTAATTGGCGACCTGTTCACACGATAATTCACAGGGTGAAACTCATAACAATAACCATCCCTGCTTAACGAACTTACTTATTTCGAGAGAGAATTAAACAATATCACAAACAGTTGTCTGTCTCTTTATGTGATATTCATAGATTTTAGCGGAGCATTTGATAAGGTTTTTCATTTGGGTTATATACAGAAGCTCCCAAGCTCCGGAATAGCAGGTGCTGTATAGGAATTGATAAGACACTTCCTCTGCGGCCGACAATTTAGAGTGGAAGTAAGTGGAACGCTATCTGTATGAGGGCCGGTCGGAAATGGCGAACCAAAGGCACCATTTCAGGTCCTCCAACATTCCTTCTCTACTCCAATAACGTATCGCGACCACTTAAGTCATCAACATTATGGTTTGTATATGTCAAAATCTGTAGAACAACAAGTGGTGAGGCTGATAAATTGTCTCCAAACTGACCTGGACGACTTAGTTATACGGTCGCAAAGTTGAGATACATAAAGACTTCGGGGTAGTAGTTAGTCACGACTTGGAAGCAACTGCGCATTGGGACGCAGCAGCCGCAAAAGGCTTTCGAAAATTATGGTCACTACTGCAAGCATTCAGATACCCTGAAAAGGAGGCGTTTGGAATTTTATATCACACCTATGTAAGACCACACCTAGAGAACTGTATCCCAGCAGCCAATTTATATCATATTAAACAAACCAACACACTGCAAAAATTAGTAAAGGACCTTTCAAAAGTTCCTAATGATGAGCACTTAAAACACACGAACCTTTCCACCTTATCATATCGTAAAACGCGGGATGAACTTATATTGGCAATGCGAATCTTTAATAACGATTTGGGTCTAATCCCTTTGCTCTGTCCAGCAGTAATCATCTCCAAAAACAGAGCAAGAAGGTTTGAAACCCGTGATCAATGAGATTATAACTTACGGACGTATCAGTCAGATTCACGATGACAGGTTTCAAAATTTTGTGGCGAAACTCATCTAAACGTATGTCTGACTAGCGTTTGGGTATTTTAGCTCATGTCGGTTAGTACTGAGGATCCCGAATCTAGCACTTAACCCTTACTATCAACTGTGAATCATAGTTCTAATTCCTCACAGCGATTTATGACCCTAGGAAATTGGTTAACATTCTCTAGGTCACTTTAGCATCGCTCAAAGGTCGTCCGTAAACCATGCTCTCATCCACGTACTATCAGCCTCACCAGTGAACATTTTCAAGGAGAAGCTGGACCTCACTTGAAGAAGCTTCAAGGATTAACAAAGGACAACCGGCCTGTCAATTTCGTAACTCGGTATAAGCAATATAGTGTGGGCTGAATTTTGATACGTAGTAGGGTACGAAACTTCGACTTACAGGAAAGTTTGTAGATCCTTTACCTTGTTCGAAAAACATGGATTTGGATTCCTACATGAGCCAGCTTACAAACATCATGCTTTTAGTTAAACTGATTTCCACTCGACCGCAGACAGCTGATGTTTCTCTTCAACCTATCTTAAGATTCTGTTCACAGGTTTTTGCACACCGCAACTCATCACTCCAACCTGCCGAAACTGAGTACAAAGAACCCCAAAAAGTCTTTAATCATAAGGTCAAGTACCATAAAACTGATAAGAACGGAAGTAAAGATAAAATTGGCGTGGATTAGCTAAAGGTCAATTACTATGAGCGTAAATCCTTTGTTAATCTCACGCTATAAGTTCGAACGATACAGCCTTCAAAACTCCGAAGCCCTCCCCAAAGGTGTATGGCTATGATGAGATGCACCTGGTATCTGAAAACCAGACGGACACGACGTGGCGGGGCAGGGCCTAGAGAGAGAGGCTACGATGTTTAGGACATTCTACAAGGATACTAATTGTTATCTAATTTCCTGCGTTTTACCATAAATTTGTCGCATTTTTAACTTCTGTCGCATCGAAAAGGTAACAGTAGTTTTTTTTCAAATGTAATTATCTACATATTATTAAGAAACAAATAAAGGTACATTGACATGCTTATCCATGTGCTTATTGTTTTTTTAACAAAAAATTCCTCAAAATAAATTTTAGACATAAAATGTAGACCCATCTCTTAAAGAATGAATAGATTTTACATACGATTTCCATTCTAGTTTATAATGTATCAGTTTGTACATCTTTATATCTCAAATTTATTAGAATTCAAGTCTCTTCTCAATTACGTATTACCTTCCCTTAAAATTGACAATCTTAAACACTTTTCTCTCATAGACTGTGATTAGCTACCCATCCTTACCTTTCGAAATCTACATATCTTCTAACCAGTATCTTAGAAACTGTACCAATAATTAACTTTATAGCAGTTTGGTAAGATAAGTGGATATTTAGTTTCCAATACAGAAGCTTTGAATGTCTGATTTCCTCCTAACACAGTGCCAGAAGAATAATGGTATTCTAAAAAGTGTACAGGAACTAGCTTGAAGTAAATTTATTAAGACACACTACAACCGTACGAGAGACAAACATCACAAAAGAGGAAGTGTAGTCTCTGATCAGCAAACGCTAAGATGGCAAAATAACCTATATATATATATATATATATATATATATATATATATATATATATATATGAGCAATCCAATACCCAAAAATGCCTATCAACAGCGAACAAATCATCAATTGCTTATAAATGAATGAAAAAGCGTTCATCCCCGTTCTGAATCTTAGAACGTTGAACGCGGAATAAAACAAAGCCTATCAAAACCAGACAACCAACTTATCGCTAACAGACAATGTGCATGAAGTGACAAATCTGCACGAATAAATGATCGAGGCCCAGTCAATAAGGTATGTCTATTTTCAAGAATTTGGTCATCGGTAACGGTAGACTTCCGACAATTCAAACAGAAAGATGTCTATTTTCTCCAACCTTTGTCCATAATGTTGAAAAAAAACATTCAACATAACCCGCGATAAAAGTTCTGCACATAAATTGTACTTCCAGAATACAGGAGGATGTCTTAACAAGTTCTGATTATCTTCGGCTGTCTTACTAAAACCATAAATCCACATACTATGTAAACAGCAATCTTGGGAAACCGTAACATTCTTTTCCAACATTTTTTCAAGAAACACGTCTTGATAATTCTTTATGTTTGCAACGAACACAAGTTCCATCATGATTTGAACCAATTAATCCCGCCGCTTTAGAAAAGATGTTACAGATACTGAGTTTATCCCTCATTTAATCTTACATGAAAACTCACCAAGGAAAACATCTGTGGACCACTGGACGCCTAACGTGCTTTTCCATGAACTACTGTAAACTTCCTATAATCTAATGTTATCAATCAAACTTACTATAGGCCCTTTGGAAAACACTTTGTATTAGAACTTCAGGAAATCAATCAAAAAATCAGTCACCAATAAGTAAAACATTTCCAGCCACTTAAAGATGGTTAATCTAAAAATAAATCTCACAAGTAAACATCATGTTCCAAATAGAGCTGATGTACAAAATATAAATAAGGTCAATGGGGATTCTGTTTAGGTTTGATTTTCGGCCTTTATTTTACAAATTGTACCACATGCCTCGGGAATCAGTTTAAAATCATAAAGAAGCACATATAGTCGACACAAATTTTAAAGTAAGGGAAAAATATGGACATTGTTCTGCAATAGAAATACATGCGGATAGTTATTTTTGTACAATACGTGGTATTTTATTGCTTACAAGGTGAACTTTCTAGCAAAAACGACTGCCTGTAATCGCATTACTGTTTCCACCTTTACATAACCTGGGCAGCATCATTGATGAACACGGTGGATCTGATACACACGTGAGGGAGCGGATCGGCAATGAAAGAGCAGCATATTTACAACTGAAAAACATCTGGAACTCAAAACAACTGCATGTCAACCAACACCAAGGTCAGAATTTTTAATACAAATGTCAAGACGGTTCTACTGTATGGGACAGAAACCTGGAGAACTACGAAAGCCATCATCCAGAAGATACAGGTGTTTATTAACAGTTGTTTACGCAAAATACTTTGGATCCGTTGGCCAGACACTATCAGCAATAACCTATTGCGGGAGAGAACAAACCAGATTGCAGTGGAGGAAGAAGTGTTGGAAGTGGATAGGACACACATTGAGGACAGCACCCAACTGTGTCAAAAGGCAAACCCTCAATTGGAATCTTCAAGGTCAAAGGAGAAGCGAAAGACCAGAGAACACATTATGGCGCGAAATGGAGACAGACATGAGAAGAATGAACAATTGGATAGAACTAGAAAGGAAGGCCCAGAAGAGAGTGAGTTAGAGGGTGCTGGTCGGCAGCCGATGCTCCACTGGGAGTAACAGGTGTTATTAAGTTAATAAGAATCATTTAGTCACAGCGGTTTTAAAGGTTTTATTTTCATACCAAATCAAGATCTACAAGGATATTTATGTTATAAATAAACTAACGTAGAAATGATGTTGAATAGTTGTAGCCAGAACTAAGTACAATTTATAGATGTTCATAAAAAAGTAATCAGAATAACAGAAATCCATTCATCTAAATTAACTGAGATGGACATGATTGAGAGTTGTAAGTATGCATGATTTCAAATATATCTTCTTCTGTGCATGTAGATTTACCAAACAACTGTTGACGTATAATTAAAGCCAGAAGTGTGTTAAATCGTAATAATATCGCATCATTATACACCCATTCATTTGATCCAACCTAAAGATAAGAATAAATGAGATAGTGGAGAAGATTTGTAGCTCAGGTGGATGATTTTGGTGGAGTTTTGTTCTCTGAGCTGGATGGTTTGGTCGTGAAAAATATGGAACGCTTCACGCAAAATCGTGAAGCTGTTAACATTCAATGAAAGAACAATAAAAATAACTGATGTTCGAATATTTGGTATAATAGAAAGGTACTAACATGAAAACTGTGAACTTTGTTGAGATCAAGCAAGGAATATTTGAGCTCCACCAATACAATATAAATTAGAAAATATTGAAGTTGATAAATGAAATATCAATCAACTTTTAATATACTCATGGGTGGCTAACCTAAAAAAACTCCACTAGATCTTATTGAACTCAACCAATTGGTTAAACAAAGGCATTGAATTATAAACTGCATCATGATAAGTTTACTAATGACCAAAACATCAATTACTGGAAGCTTGATAAGCAGCTTTAAGGTTAGCATGCTCACTAAAAAGCATAAAGTTTGAAGGTATATGTATTTAGGGAACCCTGAAGTATCCCTGAAAACGAGGAATCTACGATCTAGAACAATAGTTTTTAGTGGTTTTCTCTTATAAGAACGAAATTATAGGATAACTAGGTAAGTAAAAAAAAGTCAGATTTATTCATGGAAAAGTTAAGTAGAAAAGTAATAATTGACCAAATACAATAGCCTGTAACATAATTATGATAGCCATGAAATCAATGTAACTGAAATGCACTAAGGACTCACAATATAAAAATATAGCTGCTTAAAATCTTTAATTTGAAGTTGGTCTTTGTTAGCGGGACATAGATTGGATTAAAGCATGTTTCATGCACGATTGCATTAGTGCACGCTGATTGTTTAATTCTTATTCAATCAATGCTAGTCGATACTCAGAGGACGCTAGAATATTCTCATGTAAAAACTATAAATATATTATCGCTTTTCTTGTTGTGTTTCTTACTTCCATCTAACCTTGTTATTTGGAATATAATCTCTTTCCCTGTACAACCGTATTTTGATTTGGGGGAACTTGTCGAGTGAATCGGTATCCAAGAATACTAAGTGATAGGAATAGCTGAGTTGTAACAAGAGAAATTTATGATGATTTTAATCTGCCTTAATACTTCTAAAATATCCTACAAACTTTTAAGATTGTAAATTCTATTTTCAATATATTTGAGCAATAACGTTATCTTAAATCAATTATATTGAAAGACAATTACGTCAATGTATATATATCGACATGTAAAGTGTATATAACAAGGGGACAACATTATGACATCTTACTAACTGAAAGAATTGAATACTATAATAATGCATTTCTTGTTTATTATTCATTACCAACCTATTTCGCTAACCACTATATAGAACTTAAAAGTGTATAACTTACTTTGTCCAGTAGTACTTCAGGCAATTGTTCAACAATATCAAATGCCAAATATTGTAATTCTTTAAGAATATCCGATTTAGCAGTAAACCATTTTTCATTTAAATAACGATTAATTTTACGACCAGATGCTAACAGTTTCAAAAACCGTAATCGAAAATCTTGTATTTTATCAGTCTTAAGAATAATGTAGAATATTTATTATAACCAATATGGAAAGTACAAGTAATTACTAAATATAAATATCAAATTGTTGAAATTTAATAAAAAAAACAGAACACAATGATTCAAATAAACAATAGGTGATATTCAATGGGAACAAATTCGACTGATTGTTTGATAGTTATTCGTGAACATAAGACCATTTTTAATGCATGAATTGATGACGAAGTGGGAGTTAATATTCTACTACAATCTCCAAAGAACTGATCAAAGTTTTAACATTTAAATTTAGCCACAGAGCATCAAAGGTATGTGAATGAATAGGGGATGCAATCGATTAACAGTGATGCAGAATAATATGAATTCATTATATTTCGCAGTTTCTCATCAGTTGCTTACAACCATATATGTATTGAAAGGTAACATTGAGGTATGGTATAATGTGAAACAATCGACACTGTACAGGTTGTGACAGACTGGTTGAACAAAACCGATATAATGCCTTTTATCAGCCTTATTTTCAAGTTAAAAACTTAGAATAGAACAAGAACATTTGAAAAAAAGTAGATTCAGTATAACACATAACGGTTTTAGTACTCAATATCCATTTGGTATTGAAATAATAATTGTAACTATATTTGCTCTAAGCGATATCATCGTATTTTAACACACATTAATCTAATTATCCTTTAAATAAATAAATTTGTTAATACTTCCCCGTCCATACTTTGAGTATTCGACAATTAGGCTACCACTTAACCCAGTCAACATCTTTTCAGAAAACCAATTTAAATATGATGATAACACTTTCGGTACATTCCAACAACAACAAAAAAACTGTTTCAGGTTATAACGAACTCATACTTCTCTTTTTCTACTATTCCTTTTCTTCCACTTGAATTTATGATGAAATAAATTGTATGTTATGCTGGAGAAAACAAGACCGTGATATCGAAATATACTATAAGTTTATTGTTGACAATCACAAAAACTTGTATTTTCAAGGAATTGTATAAGGCTTTACATTAACTACATGGTTTCAGTAGGTATTTTAGTCTTATTAAGTTTCCCAATTAGATTTCATACTGCAACAACTGACCGCAAAAGGATTTCTAGTCAATATAATTCATTTTACTCCTACTAAATCATAACGACCTTAAATGCTTTTGAGTGTTTAATGACATCGTTTTCAAACTACTTTCAGACATTTGATAACAGCATCGACTCACTTCAGACAGAAAAAGCGTTAAAACTTTGATTAAGCCGATAGAACTAACAGTTTCTATTTCTTGATTATAGAGATTTACCAAAAAAATATGTTCTATCATAGCTAAAAAATTAGTATAATATGCAACTTGTGAAAATAACTGTGATAAGACACTGAGCGCGAATTGATAAAGACATATTGTTGATTATTTAATTTGTGGTTTCCTGCTTATTAATAATCTCTACCCTGGGCTCATTGAGTGTAAACTGCTTGTGATTGTGTCGAATAAAATACTGTTTGGTCTATCCTCTAGTTATCTATACGTGATTGGAAATCGTGGCTTGCTTCGGTTTGGGCACCCGGGCAGAATCCCAACCCTCACATTAAATCGAATGATTTATATGGCGCATATCTATTCGGTGCCTCCTTGTACCAATGTTTATGTGTTTAAATAAATAAATGAAGTCTGTTAAAACATGATCCAGTGTGTGCATAGCATATCGAACGATTCTTCAGTGTAGTGGTAGCATTACCTCAGTCACACGTCGCATTACCGTATAATGGTAGTATATCGCTGAAAACAGGAAATATTCTTAATTCCCCCGTTACATCAACAGTTAGATATGTCTTCGATCATTCGATGACTTTTCACAATTGCTTACACGATTTACAAACAGCTGGCCGTTTTGAATTGTTATTTAGCTATATTTCTAGCAGTCTTATTACTAAGCAATTCGTCGTCTGAATCTGAATAAATTCGGCTAAAACATGAGCATATATCCCACGTTTTACGTTGCGGATGACTGACTGAAGCGAAGCACTTATTCCTACCTAATACATATGAGTTCTCAATATATATGAAGTGCAAAATACGCTGAAGTTAATACCATTTTCAGTATCATATAATGATAATAACCGGCTGGCTGAACCAAAGTACAAGAAGAGGTACTTCGATCTCCAACTCGGTGATCGATAGTCAAGTAGTTTAGCCACCGGGGTTAGTGTACTTGTGACAGTCATGTTTTATGTCTGGACATGTAGATGTCCCGCCGGGAAGATAAGTGACTCACTTTTTCAAATGCCTAAGGAGTTTTAATCACCCTCTGGAATAGCAGTATTGAGAGCAAAGAATCCCGCGGAACACTACTTACTAGCCTCAACCAACTAAGCAAACAACGAGGAATACCGTTACTTAACATTTAAAAAGATATTCATCAGATGTTGACATAATTTTACAAGACCAGAACTAAAGCTAATCACGAGTGTAACAAAAAACTGGGATATACGGAATGGATAACTGGACTCGTTGATTTTTTTCATCAGAACATAAAAAAAACATTGTTTTGGGAAACACGTGCGTATACACTGTCAGAAAACAAAAACTGTATACAGACAGAATAAATCAGTAGAATACTGACATATTATAACTAACTCACTGGATCTGATGCAGGAAAATACTGATTCAATTTGGTAAAACACGGTGTATAGTCACTTGTTGATGAAAACGATTCCAAGTATAAATGCATAATCTAAATTGCAGCAAGATAAAAGAATTTCTTTGTCTGATTAGTTAATCCGGGAGAACAGGATTCTAGAGCAATAAAAACTTAGTGCTAAATGATTTTTCTTAGTTTTGGGGTATAGCGATGGTTTAAGTCTAATCTACACTTCAAGCATCATCCCAGAAAGTATATTTGTTCGTATAAATCTTTGAAACTCAAACTTCATCATTCATAATCCAATCTCCTCCCCACCTCAGTTACTACCGTGCTTTCTTTGATACATGACGGATAAACTGTCACTACTCATACCGGAAGTACTTAGTAGATCCAGCTTTTATCACCAAAGACTAGACTGCAATAAAATAATCACACGGTTTTAAAATTATTCACATGGAAAAGAAAAACGGAAAAGACGGACAACAGTTAACTTTATTTAGTGAATTCTATAGCTAACCTTTAGGATGTTTAGAACATGATAAAAAAGCACCAAGTTCTCGATGAGTCCTACCCACTCGGGAACTTAAGGATGAGTAGTGAGATTATCTTCTCCATCAACCAACAAATTGTGTTAACTAGGCTATAACGGTTTAAGTGCTATGTAATTGCTCAACAAGCTTAAAAACGATTTTACCAGTGATGTGCTCGAGCGAACTCAGCTAACAGAGCTGAGAACTCTAGTTGAGATGCTCAAAGCTAGCTAACTAGTTACCCAATCGTAAATTGGATGAAACGTCAGCAAATTATTAACAAACAACAGAGTATAATTAGAGATTTCAAAACATAAAAATACGATCGCCAAAATTTTAAAGCAAATGAAAACATCGCACTTCAACAATTCTAACTTCATCAAATGAGTTTGCGAACATGATATAAAAATAAAACTCCAAGACATATATCTATGCTTGTCAAGCGTTCTCAAGATCGGTTGGTCGACAATTGGGTCCGGAAACTCCTAACTAATAAAAAAACACTTTAAAAACATTTGTACATACATCCGTTAATCTTCTACGCCGTTGTCTATAATTATTTTAATAACGCAAAAAAAAGAATACCTGGAATTTCGGACAAAATATGCGCCCTTATGTAGCAACAATAAAAATCACATTGATGCACAACATAGCACCCAAGTGGAAACTTACAACACGTCTGGCTTCATTCAAGTACTTGTGAAGATGTGGTTTATATCGAGACGAATCATCCAATCTTAAAAATAGATCATCCCCTACTGTAATCAAAATTTCTAACTGATTTTGCCAATCACTGGGTAAACTTAAATTGTTGAAAGTATTCTCAACAAAATTCCCATCTGGAGTTTTGGGAAATAACATCGCTGCACAACACCACACACAAAAAGGAGGTGGTTCATAGGACAAATGACTGTAAAGCTGAATGACTAAAAGAAGAGAAAGAATGTGTCAAGTACACAATTTATGCTCGTTTTATAAGAACCATTGCGAAAAAATACTCATCTGCCAAATCTTGCAATTTTAAATTATCGATGGAATTTAATCAACTGATCGCTTTTAAATTAACTTGTATTTTCAGCAAAACTTTACTTCAACTCTATGATACGACGGTCTGACTAATAAAATAATTGAGTGAACTTGACTAAACGATGACTCCAATAGTGAGTAAATGGATAGATTTGTTCAAAGAACTAAGCTCCTATTCCCAATTGAGCAAATTTTAGAAGACAGAACTACTAACCAACTGGCTAAGTGTACCTAACTGAAATAAATCTTCAGCCTATATACATAATGTTAAAACAGAATTATAAGAATACAGGATAATTATCAAAGCAATCAATCAACGGTGCGTTTGAGGTTAAAACATCTAGAGGCTGAGATTCGCCCATTGCATCACTTTTCAGTTTAGACTTACTACTAACCCTTCACTAATGTCATCACAAGCGACAGATATTTTTAAAATGTCAATTTAACCTGAATCATGCGGAATTTATGAAACTAGGAAGAAGGATGTAATTGCAATAAAAACTATATTTTTACCTTCTTTTGTTACTGCTGTATACCCCTTTCGAAGAACGAATATTAGAATAGTATTAAGCAGGAATTTGTCACGACTTCCTGATTAGGTGTTTAGACACTGGAACAAGCTTACCATGTAGTCCAATTAACTCTTCATTTATATGAAGATCGACTGTACCACTCTGTTTTATGAAAAAGAAGGTATATAAATAATGTTTGACACTCGAAAAAATCACACTCAAAAAGACACGTACATGGTACTATCTCAGGCACAGAACTACAATGAGCTAAGCTGAAATATACGATCAAAGCAGTAAAATGATGGCTACAGAATAATACAATGTCTAGAACTTAGAGGGAAGAGTAGGCCTACACACAGTACTGCTACCGATCACAAATTATACTGCCCAGTCACTAACAACCGACTGTAAGTAAACTAAATCCCAAGCTCGAAGCCTGGATTCTCTTACAAGGATTAGACCAATAATCAATAGCTTTGGGGATTAATCCTTGTCTATTATACAGTCCAATCCCTACAACCTACTCCAAACATAAGCTGAGGGACGTGATGGTTAGCTAAGTATATCTCGTTACAACCCCAATACTCAATCACTTTCTATGTCACGTTTAACACATGTTAACAACCACTTTTTCGATGTGTTGAGTATCGTCATGAGTATCGTCTGGACGCCTTAGTGGTGACCCTAATACCTGGATTTCGGGGTTTCCCATCATATGAAAATTCGTAGATTTTAACAGGATTTAGGGAAATTATGGGGGAAACCCGGAATTCCAAGTTATTATGGGTAAACAACACAGACCAGATGAAATTTTGGGCTTATGTCGCAATTCCCCAAAGTCAGGATTGGGACACTCCTGTGAAACGTTTAAGTGTCTTGAGTGACGGTTAGGAATAAACCTGGGATATGAAGATCCGACCTCATTATTTTGGGAAAAACTGTTAGTTCTGAGGAAGCTACAAAAGAAAATTCCGAAGAAATGATACAAAAACCCAAAAAAACTTTTGGGATAATTTTTCTAAAATCTAGAAATGGGGGACCAACGGGTTTAAGACGAATAGTCGGTTTGCAAGAAAGTAAAACATAACTCAATGTATACATAGATCATGAGCAAACGCACATTCGTAGACCATGTTTTAGGTACGAAAAGCAAGACAAAATGCTGAAAAAGTGAACGGATTATTCAGTGCAGCCTTACCGATTTATTCATAAGTCTTAGGGTGTAATATATGGCTTGGAACAATGTTAAAGATGAACTCAAGTGGTAAGAAATCAGGACTCAAATTCGGCAGTGCGGCCTCGAGTTACAGAGTAGAGATAAGTTAAAACAAATAGTATTTTAAAACGTATAATAATTGTTGCCGTTATTCTCCACATCCATTACACGTCAAATTTCGTTCTGTGTTTGATAATTTTTATTTCGGTTCGTCCGTTATTTCGTCTATAATGACATGTACATTTAGTGATTCATTATCCTTTGATACGGAAAGCAGTTCAATCCTAGCAACACCGCTTAGTGTAATATTCTGAAGCTCACTAAGCAGAGACACATTACCGGAAATTTGGAAGCTAGCTCACATCACATCGATTTTCAGAGGAGCTCGACGCAGGGAACCTTCAAACTACCCACCGGTGCCACTTCTCCCTATACCTTCAAAAATTATGGAGTCCCTTATATGCGATGGCACAAAGGACTATTTATTATCCTCAAACTCATTTTCACCTTAACATCAAGGTTTCAGGAAGGGTCACTCTTGTATAACCAACTTGTTCACTGCGGTAGACAGATAGACAGCAATCCTCGATTGCAAGGGTAATGTTGACGTCATCTACCTTGACTTCTCAAAAGCTTTTGATAGAGTCAGCCATAAATGTCTTATCAATACATTCAAACGATTGGGTATCAAAATGCTTCTAACTGATTGGCTCACTTCACATCTAAAAACACGACATTTTAGGGTCGGTGTAAACTTCGATTTCTCTCAAGCTAAGGAATTTCCTAGCGGGGTTCCACAGGGTTCTGTACTGTGACATCTTCTTTTCTTGATTTATATAAACGACTTTCCACAACAGGTATCGTCTGACTTATTACTTTTTGCTGATGATGTGAAACTTTGTAGAGAGATGCGCAACCAAGGGGATACGCTGGCACTTCAGGAAGATCTGACTCGACTTCAAATTTGGGCAGATAATAACGGACTTACCTTTAACACTTCAAAGTGTAAAGTGGTCCACCTGTGATATGTTGCAGACTACAGTTACAACTTAAGAAACCCCCCTCTAGAAGTAACCCAAGTTGAAAAAGATTTAGGAGTGCTGGTACCCGACTACTTGAAGTCTTGCGCTAACTGTGACAAAAATGCCTTTCGAGCAAACCTTGAAATGCATTTTTGGCCAGTATGGAGGAAGAACTTTCCAACGGTTTTATTCGTCACCATTTAGAATACGGAAACATAGTATTTCCTTATGAAGAGCGCCTTCCAATCACTAAACCTTTACCTATTAGAGTACAGGCGTCTTAAAGGTGACCTTCTAATGGCCTACAGTATCCTTAACACTTCTAGATAACGGCTTAAACGGCTACTTAAGTTTAGCCCTAACAAAAACCTAAAGGACAACACCCAGAAAATGGAGACATAACACAGCAGAACGAACTGTATACACAACTTCTACTCCTTAAGATTAATCAAATGCTGGAATTCGCTGCCGGCTGAAATAATCCAAGCGACTCCCCAGGAGTCCTTTAAGAGGAAATTTGAACTATTCTTAAGGAGTATGGGCAATATCTTACTATGCTTTGCCTATTTCTTTTTCCTCTATTTTCGTAAATATACCTAGGTTCCTGCCTGGAGGTATTAGTGATTCACTGCTACTAAACTCGTGAGCCCGTTAAGCAAAAGCTTCTATTCCGTCTACAACCGTTTGCACTGTTTTGATTTATGCAACAACTAAAACGTAGACCACGATTTTTTCCCTTGTTAGTGGCACTGTTTTTAACCACGTGTATGTCGGTGTAAATAAAAAAGGGCAAAATTGATTGGTTGATTAATACTCACCTTACTGTTGTTATTCAGATTAACTCTGTCTCAGTTATCTATTCTTTTGCATTACAAACCACGGCTGGTGACTGAAGATTATAATAGTTTTATAACATCTTTTCAGTGGCTGGACTTTCGGTCGGGATTATTATGCAGTAACACTATCGGACTTATTATTCGCGTCACGCCATCACTAGGTGCAGAGGACCATTCGTAAGTCAAGTGGACTCATTTGTGATTGTCATCCCAGAAGGGTCTTATAAGCAACATTCAGTTCATAACAATTTTTATCATTTAACATACGATGTTGTAAGTGCTATTTGTTATTTTCCTATATTCATAGACAGCCACTCCAATTTGAAATGTAGATATTCACTTGATTTTCCGAAAATTTAAAATTGTCAGTCGATTCAAGATTAGTAATAGGATGATCGGAAGTCATACAAAAAGCACGCACAATGGTCACTAAAATAGCTTTTAAACGACTTGAATGCCGCCTTGATGTCTAACAACTCAACAAAATGAAAGGAATTCCGGACCGCAGCTCTCATATTCATCAGTCCGAAAGACAATTCTGATCTTTTTTTAGTCTGCAGGACAACAACAATAGGAAGCTTTCAGAACAATTAACGGTTGCACTGAAGAGATTAGGATATCAGCTAAAACCGTTGATCAAAACGAAAGTCAGTAACACAATGACAAGCTAAACTATTCCAATGCTCCACAGCTCTAGTAGCTAGAGCGAAAAGACTATATTCAGCTTAGAGAGATGTTTATTCGACGAGCAGCCGGAAGCACGGACGGACAAACATATAACTCATGAATACGTATACGGCACAAAAATGTTATTGGCGAACACCACAAAATAGTGTACCGAAAGAGGAGACGAACCAAAGACACTTAAGGTCCTTCCAAGTGTGTAATACAAACTGGAAGTGAAAGTCGGCGCTTACGGTGCAAAAATGGGAAATTCAAATATTAAAAATCAAGTTACTAAAGTAAAGCGTTTACGAAGTATTTTCCTGGGGATCTAGCATCCCTAACAATCTTTCTCTGAATAATAATCGTAAAGAATTAACAACACGAGTAATGTCGAGCAAAAACCCTGGTGAGTTGAAAATTTGATTTCATGTTCTCATCCCATTGTGTCAGTAAGAATACTATGGAGGAGGAAATTCACTGGAATTCAGTTCTATGTGAGTGACGTAAAACTCCGAAATCACTCAAGACTTCGTGTAAAGTTCACTAACAGTGCTGACTTAAAGGACGATCTGCTGACCAGCCACTTGCTGAAATCACAAAATAATGTGAAGATACTGCCTGATATACCATATTCTGAGCACAATCAGAAACATCCCTAAGAAGTCTTGCGAGACATTCTTTCGCGGATGTCTCGAAAAACACGGAGCCTGATTATGAAAATTCTGATATTCAGGGGTGCGAAATTCATAAAGCAATCCTTGAGGTTCAAGAACATATTGACTGAACAAGCGGTGCGACTATCCAAGGAGGACGAGGATTCTAGACCCCGGCTAACGAAGATAACCTCCCTACTCTCCTCAATGGGGAGCGCTCCTCTCGAATAATTTCATACTCACAGAAGCCGGGAATCAGCTGGAATCCACGTTCATCTGGACAGGCGATATGAAGCAAGGATTAAGCGCATAGGAAAAAAAAAGTAGACGATTACTCTACTTGTGGATTGTCAAGAACAGGGAAAAAACCTAGAAGGGACAGGTATCACCAATATACAGCTTCTAAACAAAACCATTTTTAGTGGCCCGGATATAGTTCTTTTTGTTATACTAAGAGAGGCAGCTTCAATCTTGGCAAAACTGCCTAATGTTATATTCCCACACGCGCTAAGCCGTGGCACGACGCAATAAAATGGGAGGCTAACGCACATAACACCAGTTCTTAGGAGGCCGACGCAATGAACTATCAAGCTACTGGCCGGCAGCATTTCTCTCAATACATTCGAAAGTCTTGAAGTTCCTGATTTACGATGATCTGCGCAACTACTTGTTATCCATAAACTTCTTTTCACCCCGACAGCACGGCTTCGGGAAGAGACACCCTTGTGTAACCAACCTGACGACCATCCTTGATCGCAAATAGAAGGTTCACGTAGCGTACGGTGACTTCCTAAATGCTTTTGATAGAGTCATACGGATATGTCACGTCAATAATCTCTGATCGCTAGGTATCAAGTCACTGTTAATTAATTCATTTCATACTTAAATGATCGACATTTTAGCATCAGGGTTAACTTTACAATTTTCAGGCTTCAGAATGTCCTGGCAGATTCCCTCAGATTTCGACATTGGGACCTCTTCTTTTAATCGCCGAAAACTCCCATTGTACTAAAGCACAATTGTACGAACGAAGAATACTCTTTTCAATAATTCCTCATCAGATTCTACGATTACATATCCAAATTCGTAATTCATGAAATTGGCTAGGTTTGAGGCATTTAAAAATGTAACACGTGAATCAACGATCTCATATAACATACAATCCTTGAATCACATGTCATAATTTTAAATGATGGACTTCGTCTTAAACCTGGCCAATTTTCTGGATTGCTTATTCTTTTTTTCTTAATTTATGTAAATTACTTTACTCGGCAAGTATAGTCCGACAATTTACTTTCCTCTGTCGATGTGAAACTTTGGAAAGGAATTTGCGGTCAAGATGGCTCTTCGGAATGATCTGATTCGACTTTAAAATTGAGCGGATATAAACGAACTTGTAGAGTTGTGGCCTAGTTTGTTATTAGTACTGCTGTTATACTAGACCTTATCCTCAAATTGTAGATTTGTCATGGTGTAACTACCTAATCTATGAGATCTTACGTGGAATTTCCACCATTGTCTATTCTGACTCGTCGTATCGTACAATCACAATATAATGTTTGATGTTTCCAAAAGACAAATTAGGTCCGGAGATGGAACAATATATCTAATATGAATAGGAAAGATAGGTTACATAACAATGACCATGCCTGCAAGTTTGAGCCTTGCCACCCGATTGAATTAATCAAATGTTCTGGCGTGCCTATTGTCGACTTGTTTGTGTTAATTGTTGAATATAAATCTTTTCAGTAATTATATGTTCGGATTGAAAGGTTATATTGTTAGGAACCAATGCCTCTACAGATTCGAATTCAACA